ATTATGCATTTATATATGTGTATTACCGAGATAAATAGCTTATCGAATTCGGCCGAATGGACTTCGGCAAATTTTTTTAGGGTGTCCCAGAATTTATGAAAACAGCTGTAATGCTGGCTAACATTGTCGGCATTAGGTCTTTTCGGGAATCTGTCTTTCGGGATTTTGTGGTAAAACCCTTTGAACTCAGCTTGGGTTCAAGTGAACCCGGGTTGGATTCAAATAAACTCGGGTTGGGTTCAAATAAACCCGGGTTAGTTCAATTAAATAAACCCGGGTTGGTTCAATTAAATAAACCCGGGTTGGGTTCAAATGAACTCGAATTGGATTCAAATAAACTCGGCTTGAATTCAAATAAATCCATATTGGCTTGGGTTAAATAAATCCGACTTGGATTCAAATGAGCCCAAATTGGATTCAAATGAACCCGAATTAGGTTCAAATAAACCCGAATTGGATCCAAATAAACCCGGCTTGGGTTCAAATGGACCCAAATTGAGCTCAAATAAACTCGGCTTGGATTTACAGCTATTATCATAATTCCTGGGACACCTGATAAAATGATTTTTCAGGGTTGATTTGGCATGATCCTTATAATAAAAGATTAATTTATGATCATTATAACAATGATGTCAACGTTATACCCGTGATCAACCAATTACGTGAAAAATAATATCTACTATATAACCCATATAGTAAATACTTATCCAATGATTGGTCACACCTCAGTGCCAAATACCTCTTAATCCATGCTTTCTAAAAATTTTTTTCAACTATTTGCCAACGAAAGTAGCCTGTCTTAACCTGTTATCAGGCTTTCAATTATATTTTATACCGGATATAATCTATCTAATTTTGTCTGGTACAATATAATTGAAAACCAAATAATAAGTTTTTTTTTGGTGGCACTCTTATATATCAATCTATTGAAATTTAACCAAATCGGCTGAAAAATCGGTCGGCCAATTTTTATCAGGTGTCCCAGAAACTATGATAATGGCTATAAATGAAACCCGGCTTGGGTTTAAATAAATCGAATTGGGTTCAATGGACCCGGCTTGGGTTCAAATGAACACGTTTTCAGAACAAGATTTAGATTCAACGAACACAATTTCGGAACATGATTTGGTTCAAATGAACATGATTTCAGAACATGACTTGGGTTTACTTAACGCAAATTATTTTTTAAGTTTTTTTTCATTTATTTAAATATTTTTTATTTTACCTTTTTTATTTTTGTTTATTTATTTTTATTTTTTATTTTTTATTTTTGTAATCTTCATCATAATGGTTTTTTATTATTTTTTATTATTTATTATTTTATAATTTTTTAACTTTTTTATTTTTAAATTTTAAATTTTTTGTATTTTTTTTCTTGATTAATTATTTTATTTTATTTTATTTTATTATTTTATTTTTATTTTATTTTTTATTTTATTTTTATTTTATTTCTTATTTTTTATACAGTATTATATTAAAATATGGGGGTGAGTCAATAGAAATCAAGCAAATTTTTTATAATAAAATTTTTTTATAACTTTAAACAAGAATAACCTTAACCAAATTTAATAAATTTTTTTTTAAAATAATTTTTTATAAATTTTAGAATTAATTTAAAAAAAAAATTGATTAAGTTTTTGTTAAGCTATCCTTATTTAAAGTTTTTAAAAAACTTATTAAAAAATATTTGCTTGGTTTCTATTGACTCAACCTCATGTATTTAGCACTAGTGATTATTGTGGTGTGTTAAACATCGCAGATGCGATATATAATTTTTGTTACTCTTAATTTTGTTCATTCTTCGATCGTTTAACTTTTTTTTCGAATTATTTTATATTCAGTATATACAGTAAAACATAATAAATTATTATAAAGCGAACTTTTGATAATTTTTTCTATAAGACCTCGTAACGCCATTAATTGAATGGTTGGAACACCATCAGTTAATTGATAATTTACCGTCAATTAATTGACAGTCTACTTTGTATATAATTTTCCCGACCACCTTATTGGGTGGTCCCTCCTGCCAATTTTTATCGGGACGTCCCAAAATTGCTTGGCAACAAATTTTTACGCGTCCCTGAAATTTCTGATATCGTAATCTTGAAAGGAATGTGATTACAGGTAATCATATAAAGATTTTTTTTTTTTATAACAATCTCAAAGATTCTATGAATTTAGAAACTTTTATGCTATAGTAGTAACTATGTTAACAATATTTCTATATAAGTTGCAATTAAAATTTAATTAAAAACATATTAAGCTAAAATAACTTACTGGCTAGCCAGTAATAGTTTGAAACATCACTTGGGATATTTTTTAAAAAGAATCTATCTATATTTTGTATAAATTTGTTCTGACTTTTTACCGATTTCCAAAAAACCAATAAATGTCGCTAAATAAATAATATCAGTTTTTTTAGCCGGAGCCGCCCTTGTATACTTTACCGAAGAAGATAACTTGGAGTTGGTCGTAACTATCAGAGAAGACATTTTAGTATAAAGTACACTAAAAAAAACAAACAAATTGACCAGAAATAAAAAAAAACTAACCCAGCTAAAACACCAGCACCAGCAATAGCACGAAGGATATTGGCACCAGCACCCTTGAACAAAGATCCCATACCTTCCTTGGCAACAATTTCTTTAAAGGCATGCATAGAGGATTTATATTTTACAGCCTCACCGGACGTCATCATCATTCTACGTCGTACTGTATCTATTGGATAACTTGCAAGGCCAGCCCCGATAGTAACAGACCATCCGAGCAAGAATCTAATAGTATAAAGTAAACGTTAATTTCATACATGGATTAAACAACTATTAACGAGTAAATTATAAAAGTTTAACTCACGATGCGAGGAAATTGTCTTTGAGGTTTCCAGTTAGGACAATGGGCTTAAGGGAATCAAACATACCGAAGTAAAGACCTCTGTAAATAATGATACCTAATTTGGGGGAAATAAAGATTATGATTGTATTTAGAGACTAGGAAATAGTTTATAGGATGATAAATAATAAATTGATCAGTAACTTACCGACACACGAAATGTTGAAACCTAGCATGATTCAAAAAAAAAAAAAAAAAAAAAAGGATCAGAACAACAAAGGTATATAGCATTTACGTTGAAAGAAAAGATATTTACCTCTGTAAAGACCAACTATACCATCGGATGCAAGGGTTTTGCGATAGACATCAATAAGACCACTATATTGACGATCACCAGCACCTTTCGAAGCGGCCTTAGCGTCATTAGCGAGACGAGTTCGAGCAAAATCAAGAGAATACACGAACGTCAAAGATACGGCCCCAGCAGCACCTCCAGAGGCAATGTTGCCAAGAAACACTTTAGCATAACCATCTTTCTCTTTTTTATAATTAAACATTCTCTTGAATTTATCTTTAAATGCGAAGTTCAAGGCTTGAGTAGGGAAATATCGGATGACATTTGCGGTATTACCACGCCAAAGACTGATAACACCCTCGTCTGCAACTGTTCGAACAAAGCAGTCGCCAATACCCTTGTAAGGTCTCGCGAGACGACCGGACTTGATCATAGCTTCCTGGTTCTGAAGTAATAACTTAACACGTTCAATAGGAGCGGCGGCAGTTTTTGAAATGGCAGCAGAGACACCGCCCATCAAAAAATCCATAACGAAGTTAGAACCGCTTTTCTTTTGACCCGTTTGACCCGACATTATTAGGTTTTAAGAGTGGGGAGGATGTAAGAATTGGTTATCGGCAAAAAGAAAGAAGTTAAAGATTGTAAGAAAGGGAGATGAATTCTATAGAAACAAGTTTTTATTCTTGTCTTATTGATCCCGGCCGGAACAAAAATTTTTTTATTTTTTTTTGAAGCTCCGAAGATAATTGGATAAACAAAAACGCATAAACACCATTCAAATTATGATTGGATATCGGATATTAAACATCTAGACTAAATATAGTTATTTTGAATTTAAATGGCAAGCCTTTTATTTTTTAAAATCCGTGAATTTCCGTTGATTATCAAACCGAATTTGGAGCAATTCTGAAATTTTTTGATAAATAAAAGAGAGCTCTAGACTAAATGTTTTCACCCATTTTTTCAAAATGAAGCTTTTTATCGATGAACTAAAAAGCTATACTTGTCATTATGAGAAGAACATAAATGAAGAACAGGAATATCTGTAATTCTGTAATTGAAACAGTAGGATATACTCGTCTTCAACATGGTTGTACAAACCTGTCCATTATCATTCGTCTGTTCACCATTTCCAAATAAAAAGATCAAAAGTTCTACTTTAGTATGCTCTATAATAAATAGACCCCTTTTTCACTACAGCAACAAGCATCGTTAAATAAAAAAAAATAAAAAATTATAACAGCTTAATGTAGTAATTGATGACGCCGAGAGAATGCATCTGAGAATCCATCTGAGAGAGTTTCTGTGGTATGTAATTTACGATGTTAAACTTTTATGTCTATCTAAAATGATGATAAATTGAAAACGTCTTCCATATTATTCGACTTTACGAATGTGTGATGGAGACATTAATGACTACGTCGGTATCTGATTCATGGATAATTTTATATTGACATTTTATATTGACATTTGAAACCGCTTAAACTAGTTCTGATCCATTATAATTATTTTTGTTACTACGTAGAAACTACGGTTAATATTGGTAATACTACGTATAATATCAAAGTTAAGGTCGTTAAAATATGTTTACTTTAAAGGATAATAACATATTAAAGCTTTTTAATTTTAATTTTTTAAAATAATTGATTTATCGTAAAAGTTAAATGACTACTGTTTTTTTTTTTGTTGTGAAATATTTCAGACCAAGTCATACTAGCAGCAAACAAGTAGAATACTAATTTAAATATGAATTAATGCTGCAGTTTCTGGGTATCTATTTTATATCGAGACAAATATTGCTTTGACATTTCAACACTCCCAGAAGAAGCTTTCATTTTCCTGACTGCTACCCTTACTAAAACTTCTATAAAAACCTACAGCAGTTTCATATAATTGTCTGTCTTTTTCCGGATCAAATGTTGTTGCGATTGATGGATCTTCTCTATAAATTATTATAAAAAATTATTATAAAAAAATAAGTATTAAATATAAAGAATCCTCAATATATTAAATTATAAGATATACTTGATATTCAATTTTTCGTCAAATTGTGAAAGTGGGACTTGTGATGGACGCTTCAAAGCAGCATAACCATTACCAATAATAGGAGATTGTGGTTCCTGTTCTTCATGAGCGGATGATGTAAATAAAGGCGCGTATCCTGCGGATGAAGTCTGCCCAGCCAATTGCGATGGACCGGGTGTTGGTTTTTGATTAGTTAGTGGTGTTTTGCCGAAGCTAGATGGTGGCCTCGTTCTTCTTACAGGAGTAGTTTGCGCTAAGATCGAGGGTTGTGGCGAGCTGGGTGAACGAATGACATTACTCGAAGTTTCACGATAATACTACGTAAAAAAAAAAAAGATAAGATTAATGTGATTAAAAAAAAAAAAGAAAAAAAGCAAATAAAAATACAGCAAGCAAGTCTTGAGAAGGTTGTGTTTTATCCTCTTCTAAGCCAAATTTTTTACGAAATAATTCTTTGTCCTTTGTTTTATCATGGCCTATCAAACTGACAAGTGTTAAATTTGAACTGTCAGAAAAACTCATATGCAGTATTATATATTACCCATTACAGAGCTTTCGGCTTTGAAAGATAACGGATAAGGTGCAGTAATATTTCCTACACCTAATGCCCACTGCGAGGTTGGTGGAAGAGATATGGAAGCTGCATTTTTATATCTTGAGTAAAGTGAATCTTCTGAAGACATTGAGATACGCGTGAGGTTTCAAGTAGTGATCTGTATTCAGCACAAAATTACACCACGCGACCAAAATACCCGTGTGATGGAATAATGAATAATGAGAATAATGAATATAACGAATGAAAAAATATACCGACATAGCATACATGTGACTTGTAGATGACCAGGGTATGGCACGAAAGTAAGCTTCAATTTTTATTTTATATCAAAAAATTTTTTGAGGTGTCGTCAATCAAAAACATGTCATTTGTAGCAACTTATTCAGTATAATAAATTATGTCGGGCATTAACATAGATGTTTAACCAACGACACTCCAAGTTACAATTAATACCTGATACAGTACAATTTCTTAATCTTTCTATACTACGTTTTGATCGACGACGTCCCATTTTTTAATGCTCTTATAGAAAATTATTTCGCATAATATCGAAAAATTTATTTAAAAATTTATATTCTTAAAATTTGATTAGTGTTCTCGGAGAACATTGAATTTCTCACAGTGATAGGCTCTCAAGCACCTTTCTCAATGAATTCGACATTGGTCCATTGAGACCTAGGTTTACGGACGCAAAACATACATTTTTGGTATAGATGCACTCTATGTTCTTTGATACATGTGTGCAATATGCACGTGATTTTACCAAAACGATTGAAATTCTACTACGTAGCTTCATTAGAAGTGATCCTGATGATATAATAAGACTGAACATTTTTATATTCAGCAGTATACGTATTAAAAAAATAGATTCCATTTGGATCGCTTTATATTCATGTTGATAGTGCTATAATGAGGGATCATATTTAAAGTTGATATATGAGGGAATTTTAATATGACTTTAATATATAGAAGTTCATTTTGATATTACAGTATTACAGTATCACAGTAATGAGGTTGATACTAACGCTAACGAGGGCCATCTTAACAAAGCAGCCAATCAAAATCAAGATCTGGATCCGTTAAAACAAGAGAAAAAAGTCGCGACAAATACAAGAAACAGCAGTCCAAATCCACCTTAGAGTACTAATAAAAAATGCCAAGAAGGCAATTTTACTTATATCAATGAACTAATTAATCCCTAATCCAAATACCCAAATCCTAATAAACAGGAGGGAACGTTGTTGTTACACAACTGATTTTACACATGGTGTGAAACACATAAAAAAATGATTTTACAATACTTGATCGGACTTGATCAGTCAGCTAGTACATGTTATGATTATAATCTCACCATTTTTTTATAATAAAAAATGTTGTTGGATTATAATCATAACATGTACTAGCGTGTGTAAAATCAGTTGTGTAACATCAACGTTTCTCCTGTTGACTAAAATAAAATAGATCATGTGATTATAAATAATTATTTTTTTCTCCTTTTTTTTTTAGTATTGTTGTTGTTTCGCTTGGTGTCGCTATAAATTTATCGTTGATATTACCCATCATTTACGGTGTCGTAGCTTTTTTGGTCGCGTTGATTTAACACTTTGACACAAAGCTTTAATTACTTTAGGCTCGGGTGAGTAAGACTAGAATTATGTTGTGTATTAGGGTCTGTTAAATTGTTAATATGAGTTGCTTTGATTAGGATTAACACGAATGTAAACGTTCAGGGAAGGACACTTGTGTGTGTGACTGGTATAAATCAATTTTTCGAGAACTTATTTGTATGTTTTAAAGTACTTTTTGAGAGCAGAACATCTTACTACAAAGATTTCCACAAAAAATCGCCGTAGCTTTAGAACGTTGTCAGTATTCTCAAAACACAGGATGGCCTTACTCTTGACAAACTACGTATTCTAAGAAAATAATTTTTGATCGTTTATCTCTACATGGTAATAATATTATTCATAGAGTTCTTGTAAGATATTACATTTTTGTCTGATTGTATATTTATTATTCACTAACATGCAGTTCATCAATATATTAATATTTAGATTCGAAGAATATCTTATTCGTCAAAAATAATTCAAAGATTGCAAAATGTGAATGATCAAATTAGACAAATGAGATAACTTTGTCTTCAAATTGAGAATTCCAACAATATATCGAACTTCAGTATCTTATTAAGCAAGGATCTAATCGTGATAAGAAATCTGATATCTATGGTTTTGGAGTAATATTTTGGGAAATTTCAAGCGGAAAGGCACCATTCCGAAACTTTGGAGTAATCTTTTGGGAAATTTCAAGCGGAAAGGTACAATTCCGAAACTTTGAATTAATCATGGCCCTCTGCTACTAAATAATTCAAGGGCATATTACAAGGAAATAGAAAACCTATATAAGGTACACCATCTCAATATATTGAACTTTATAAAAAACGTTAAGATAATGATCCTGACAAACAAAATTAATTCTCATACTTTAACTACTTATTCCAACGAAACTTGAATCAATACCATTCTATTGAAACATCATTTCAAAGTAGCGAACTTCCTCAAGTCGTCAAGGCAATATAATGTGTACTAGTAAATTTAATTCATTGTTCAGAAAAGAAGATTTTGAAGAGTGTAATTGTTTATTTAAATTGGAAAAATGTTTGTTTTCTTTCTGATTTTAGATATTTACTAATTTTTTTTATCATTATATGCGAATGAATAAAAAAAAATTTTTTTACCTAGTCTATGATGACAGACACGAATCTGCTTTTCCCGTGGATGTTGATATAAACGATACCACAATATTAAAGCAAGGGATATTACATTATGGAAAGCGAATATCCCATGTAATGAAGAAGATATTCGATGGGGGATATTATTCCTGAAAATAAAACTAGGATTCGTAAATTGCTACCTTTTAAGAAATTTTTTCTGTGGTACCCGATAATTGTATTGATATAATTATCAAGGTACCAAATACCAACGATGGTAAATGACATTGCTATTTTTGCTCCTAATTATTTATTTTATAACTTTCTAAAGTTTTTAAAATTTCCTAATTACTCTTATTTTAAAGTTCTCAGTTTTCTCTTCGTAACGACACTATCGAAAAGATGATCCAAAAAATTGATACCATCTATGCCCATGTGATAGAAGAGGAAGAAATTATCACATTTTCGAACATCAACACCAAGAAATTTGACAAATTTCTTGAGCTCACTGGGTTAATAGTAAAGAACGTGGGGTTTTCCAATAAACGCGTAAAAGACATAGCCTCTTTTCAGTGGACGGATTATGCAGAAAACTATGTGGAACAAAGAAAGAGGCAATATAAATACTTCAAAAAAAATTTGAAACAGCATCTTCCACAGAACATCACCATCATAGATGTTTCAAACAATAGAAACACTTCTTAATATTAAAAAGCATGATGGTTTCCCTACAATGTAAAAGGGAGTACCGACTTTATCATAGTCAATGGAATTCATGCAATAATTGAATTAAAAAAAACTGGATTATAAAAGTCATCGACAAGTAATTCTTGAGATGATTGTGGCGGACATTCACGTGGATGCGGAAATTAAGGTGTTTGGAGTACTGACTGACATAACCAATTTGACAATCTGCTGGTTAGATGAACACAAGAAAGTCATGAAAATAATTGTAAAAATGCTTTTGAATTAATTGGATTGCTTTTGGGCGAAGATTCTAAATACCCAAGTTTATCAGAAAAGGTAGCCCGAAAAAAAATTTTAGATTTAGTGCAATATATATATAATTTTAGAATTACACATGTAAATAGCTTTTTAAAAACAAAGAATTTTTTCTCAAACTTAGGGTGCTCTCAAGCGTCATTTCGATGTGATTAGCAAGTGATCGCAATGGCACTCAAGCAAAATTATATTATATGAAATTTTTATTGAGAATTCGAATATGTAATATATGATGTAATTGAAATTTTCTCAAGCATCATCTTCGATGTGATTAATTAGTGATCGTAATGGTGCTCATTTAATAGAATTAATAGAAATAATCAATATTTGAGCGGTCCTTTTATTATTCGTCAAAAATAAAAAATAAAAAAAATGAAAAATAAAAAAAGCCAAAAAATAAAAAAAGCCAAAAAATAAAAAAACAAAACCAACCGTTAAATAAGAAGCAAATGCTGTGAATATTCTACGAAGCATCAACTTCAGCAGCCCTGTTGCTCCGTTATTCCAACAACAATATCCCGCCTCCATTTTTTATGAATCCATTAGTTGCAAATAAAGCTGCTGTTGAATACAAAGAGGTTCTATTCGCATATTTATTTAGAAATATAATAATTTAATAATATTTTTTTTTTTTTTTGTCAAAGGTGTCAAATAATTTAGAAACAGTTTCTAATGATGATTCAGCTTCGGATACGGATTCTACCTCTTCTGAAGTATTAAATAACAAAACATATTGTTTTTTGAGCCTCCTGATTTTTTTTATCATTCATAAAAATGTTTAGTGCGAGAAGTAAAATAATAATTCGTCGCTGCGTGATGATCCATGGTTGTGCAGTCTTTTTGAAAACTCAATTGATTGTTGATTGTAAAATTTTCAAGACAGGTATAAAAAAAAGGTGGTTTGTTGTAAAAAGGTTGTTGATTTAAATGACACAATATTTTTTATTAATAAAAATGTAATATTTACGTAATAAGCTTTATCAATTATGCATCTTAATGATAAACACGCTTGACTAATTTAACCTATTTTCCGCTAAATAAATTTTATTTCCCGACGCTTTTTGCCCCATTGATTAAGGCACTTGAGAACACCCTAAATCTCTAATTATACGTTACAAGAAAAATTGATTGGAGCTATTTAGATTGCTCACCATCTTCATCTACTAATACTTTGTTCAATACACATTCTAAAGCACATTCAACTCTCAATTTCCATAATAAAAGATGTCAAATAACACTTGGATTCAATGTTTCAAGAATAGCATACGCTTGTTCAAGGCAGTATGCAGTTTCGGGATTTGTGGGAAGAATGTAGGTGTTTACAAGTCAAAGAGATAGACACCGCCACCACACCAGATCATTGAATAAATATTTATACAAGTACCTATAAAGAAAGAATTGTTAAATATCAATTCTAT